TCTTACACTTCTATTTTCAGATTTATACTAATATTTTGTTTTTTGACAACACAAAGTCCAATATTTTCATAACAACGTCATGTTAGCTTAAAATAAGTAAGGTATGTGACCGTACAATAGGTAGGATCCAAAGAGAACGTGATAGAATATTATAGAAGCTAGTTATCTATTTCTTCAACACTAAGATATTAGCTATAATTATCTTGCACAAGTTGTGGACCATGTGATATAGAACTAGAGAGTGGTTTTAGTATTGGGTTTTTTGCCCCCCAAAAAACCACGTTAAAAATAGGCTCTTTATATAGAAATCATCTTTTATTTTTAATTTATATGTAAAACATCTTTAAAGCGAGTTTTTGTTTCAACCAACCATTTTGTAGTCAAGTTTTTACTTAAAACCCAAAAATACGCTTAAAAATTCATATTCAAGACATGTAACTCACTTTATTAATGTTTAGATCTAGTTCCGACGTATGTCATGTACCTTGAATGTGCATTTTCACGTTATTTTTTATTTTAATTACAAATTTGACTAAGAGATGGTTGATTGGAATAAACCACTTGAAATGTGGTTTTCGTATAAATTGAAAATGAAAGTTAGTTTCTTTATGATAACCCTATTTTTAACGTGGTGTCTAGAAAAAAAAACCTTTGATATTTACCTTTCAAACCCCTAAAATTTTCTCATATATATCCCTAAAAACTTTCTAATTATTTGTATATCCTTAAAACTATGATCAATAATTACATGTATATTCTTAGATTAACTATCAAGAATAGTGAGTTATAATTTGATTGTTCAAGTAACTATTTGATTATATTAGATTTGATTGTCATTTAACAATACTCAAATAGTATTTAGTATTCAAATTAATATGTGAATATAGTTAACCAGATGTATACTTGATTTTTTTTCTTCTCAAGTATTTGTTTAAAATTTGATTGCTTATTAATGTACATTAATGTCCTATTTTTAATCCACTTATATTTTCGACTTTTGTTTTATTATAATTCTGAGAGGCTTAAGGAGTCTAAATATTCAAATTAAACGTTGATGCATCATAATCTTAATGGACTAATCAGTTACTAATTAAAATTTAGAAAAGTGAAATTATTTTCTTAACCACTTGCAAATGTGAATGGTGATGAAAATTATGAGATGGTTTGGGTCACATGGTCTCTTTCTATTGGGATGATATAAGCCATATGGTGCTCATGGAGCACCTAAGAATTTCTTACTTCACACTAATACACATTAATCATGCTCAAAATCAACAAGCATCTTGGAGATTTTTGTTTCTTTTAGAAAACATGCCTCTTTCAATCATGTTAGAAAATGCCACGTTGAGGTATAGAAATCAATTTACGTCAGGATTTAAACATCAACTACCTTTACGTCACCAACATTCAATGCCTCTCGAAATACGTGCACGGAAAAACAAAATCCCTTAAAATCGTGAAGATTTTGCTCACAAATATCTTTACCCTCTACAAAAGTACAATTTTTTAGTCTTAGGGTGGGGATGGAAACCCGGGGTTTACTTGGTCAGTAGCGGCTCGACCCGCTGTCTCTGGTTCGCGTCTCGCCCGGTCCACACACCACTCGCCCACGTGCTGGGGATGAGCCCTCTGGTACTTAAGAGGTAGCTCCCTGCGGATTGTTGGGGACTGGGGGGATTCGAACCGGGGTGCGACGGACTCCAAAGAGAGTTTAAGTGGAGGTGCTGACCAGGGTTCCCTTGTCAACAAAAAAAAAAGTACAATTTTTTTTAAAAAAGGCCATTTTAAAAAAAATTAGTAAAATTGATCATTTTTATTTAAATAGAGAAATCAATGTTTGTTTTGTCACATCAACATGACCGGCCAAAATGAAGTTGAACTTGCAAAATAAAATTTCTAAAATAAAAGGGACTTCTAGTATCGTGTATCTAGTGGCATCTATCAGCAGTTGATTCATCCTCCCCTTCCTCTTCTGATGGATGATAAGAAGGAGCCACACCTGTTAAAGCTGGGACAATTGAGCGGAGTCCCTTTTGATGGGAAATTCCTGCGACAGATGACTCATTCTCCTCCTCTATTTGCATAACAGGCGCCAATTTGAAAGCGTCCTGCATTAATTTTGCCCCTTGTTGAGCTTTCAAAATTGGAGACTCAACCAACAATTTTCGGCGAGCCCGCTTGTCAGAACGATACGCTTCTTCCTTAGTAAGAGATCGCTTCCCTGCTGGTCTCTCTTCATAGGTTTCAGTTGCTTTGATTCCTTCTTCTTGAGTTTCCTTTGTGGCTTCAGCCTCTTCATCCCCAACTGCCGCTTGTTCACAAGTCAAATACTCGTCAATCCCCTTCAGACGAGTCATTTTAGAGCTCCTCTTGGATTCATATATCTTTCTGATCTCCTTCACACAAGATGTGTATATCTTATATTCAGGGACCTGAGAAGCTGCATGATACCAGTTGCAGAAGCCTAAAATAGCATAAGAGTTGGGTGTCTTGGGGGGCAATTTGAATATGGCCCCGGTACAACCAGCTACTGAGTAGTACCAAGCACTGGCTCCTTCATATAAATTGTCGATGAGCGTGAGCTGAGGGTTGGGATTGACAATGTATAACTGAGTGTATCCGAACTGTTGAGAGAACCTGAAGGGCTGATAGGGCTCAAACCGCCCTGCCGGAAGATGAGATAGCTCGGCCTGATGTTGATAAGCCACCGGAAGACGCCCTCATTTAGCTTAGTAAAGGAATTAGGGCCTCTCATATCTTGATAAGTCTCACCATATCTTCCACCCTCAAAATCAAGGAAACAACAGAATACATGATAATTAAGGTCCTTCGACAATATTTGCCGGACCATAACCATGTACCAGCCCTCCCACTTAGCTGTCTCCAATCGTCAGATAAACAGAATGAAGGATCTGCTGTAGGGAGAAGTTGGCATCATCAACGAGGGGCAATGTAAGACGTATCATGCCACCAAATAGGTGTATGACATCGACACGCGTGGGTTGGGAGTTTTGAAGGTCTTCTTCTCACCAGAGTCTATCTCCTTAACTTGAACAAAATCAAAAGCCAACTCTCGTAGGCTGCTTTGAAGACAACATATCATTGCCGAGAGAAGATTTAGCGGTCTCCCATGAGCTAAGAGAACAGCGGGATATACAACCTCAACTGCGATAGCTTCAAATGGTTTGGTAGGTACCACACACCGCTTCATCCACATCATTAAGAATCTGGGAAATAAGTCCATATTGGAGATGGGATGTTGGGCTTGATAATGGAAGCTATCAAACTCGGTATAAGATGGAAAGATACCCTCTTGAGCCTCGTTCATGTAGTGAGCTATAGCAGAGTCGATGCGAGTCTCGATATCATCAAGAGAACTCACGGAAAGATGAGTCATCTCAGCATCCTTCTGGTTTAAGTTCTGAAATAAATATTCAGCCCAGGATGCCTGCTTAACGCTACCTTCTCATAATCCCGTCAGCTGAGTGCAGATGTGTAAGTGACACATCACTTTCTAGAAGGTTTCATATATCTCGGGATTTGCCGCTCTCAGAATGGCAAGTTCCTCCGTCCCTAGAATGAACTCTTCATATGGTAGTTTCCCAAATGGCAGCCCCGAGACCTTGAACATCTCATGTAAAGCAAAGCCCAGCTCTCTAACAGGTGTAAAGAATGTGCCGGTCTCTGGATTATACTGCTCCAACATAGCGAAAAGGTTGTAATGGCTTTGCACAATTCCATATAGTGTGGCCATCACAGCATCCCTAAGACCAGAATGAGACAGTGGTTCTCTCAACTCCTCTAGAAAAAAGTTCACCATTCGGGCCCACCATCCCTCATCCACAGAGTATACCCATCTGGGGGATCTGAAATCCTGTGCAGGAAGTTCATCCCTCACTGCGATGAATTTCATAATGAAAACGTTCGCTAGGCTGGCGGCTTCACCAATTGGGTATTCCCTTTGGACTAAGCCGAGCCTCAGAACTGTCACCTGCCTGCCATAACCCACTGGACGAACAACTTGATGGGTGAGCGCTCCAACCGATACGTCGTCTTGCTCCCTGACGAGGTCCCAATCCATACACCGCAGAATGGGGGCGCTCTGGAAGTATGAAAGAGGGTACATCCGCTCCATATCGGGCAGAAAAAGGCAACGAGTACCAATTTTCTGTAACATCTTATAGGTCTCGTCGTACATGACCGCAATGTTAATTTTGACGGAGTCTCCAAATAAGAATGTGGGCTTCTTTAAGTTCTTTCGGTCCACCGTCTCGAGTTTTGCATCTGTGACGATAGCCCTAAGAGCCGACAGATCCGCTCGACTTATTATGTTCATTCGCTCCTTGTCTTGGCCATGGAAAATTGGAAACTCTTGACGGAACCCGATAGTAACACAGGCGTCCGCACCGCCTTCATGACCAAAGTGGTGACAAAAAAAGTAAGGGGTTCGCTGGAATAGCGCACTGCAGAAAAGGAAAACAACAATTAGACCTATTCTTAGACTTAACATGAAAATAGACCTAACATGAACTATTATTAGACTTAACATGAAATATTATTAGACATAACATGAACTAAAATTATACATAACATAAACTGTAATTAGACTTAACATAAACTATTATTAGACATAACATGAATTAAAATTAGACATAACATGAACTATTATTAGACTTAATATGAACTGAAATTAGACCTAACATGAACTACTATTAGATCTAACATGAAATTAGACTTAACATGAACTCTAAATAGACCTAACAAGAAAGAATAGAGTAGATAAGGGCATTTTGGGGTTTTGTACTTTTTATCCTCCCTCTATGCCTAGTTGGCGGGTAATAATTTCTAAAAGAGCACTGCAGCACATGATGCGACACTTCTTGGAACTGAACCATACGGAAAAAAAATGAAGGGACTGCAGTTCATGAAAATATTGTTGTTGGGACATTGACATAATTTTCCTTTCTAAAATTGATATTTTTTTGACCAGTCTTAATGACATGGCAACACAGACATTGGTTTTGCTTTATAAATTGTCCTTTTATAAACGGAAAAACTTTTTGGCTCGCGGCCGCCCAACTCGCGGGCGGCACGCAAGAGCCAAAACAGGGGGGTGGGCCCTTGCCATCATCTTCTACCTTCTCAATCCAAAATCCAAAACCAATCTCCCACCAGGCCCAAAACCGCTCCCTATCGTCGGCAACCTCTTCATCCTCGGCGACAAGCCTCACCGTTCTCTAGCTCAGCTAGCCAAATCCTACGGCCCAATCATCTCTCTCAAGCTTGGCCAAGTCACGACCATCGTGGTCTCCTCCCCCGACCTCGCTCGCGAAGTCCTAGTCAAAAAGGACCAATCCTTCTGTTCTCGGTCCATACCCGACGCCGTACGAATCGTCGGCCACTATGACGGATCTCCAGTTTGGTTGCCAGCAAACCAAAAATGGAAGAATCTCCGAATAATTTGCAGAAGTCAGTTGTTTACTTCACAAAGGCTGGATTCCAACATTGCCCTCAGGCACAAAAAAGTGCGGGAGTTGGTCGAGTATTTGAGGGAACGTGGCGAGGCAAAAGAAGCGGTGGACATTGGTCGAGTTGTGTTCACGGCGGTGATGAACTCGTTGACGAATACCCTGTTCTCGATCGACATGGTTGATCCTCGGTCGGACTCTGCGCAGGAGTTTCGGGATTTGGTGTGGGGGATTATGGAAGTAGTCGGGAGTGCGAACGTTTCGGACTTTTTCCCGTTGGTGAGGGAGTTGGATTTGCAAGGGAAGAGGAGGAGGACTGAGGGGTATTTTAGGAAGTTGCATAGGATCTTTGATGAGCTCATAGATCGGAAGTTGAAGGAGATTGAACTTGGAAATGAGACTGATAAGGACTTTTTGGATGCCCTGCTCAATGGTCAGAACAAGCTCGATCGATACGATATTAAGCCGCTGCTCGTGGTAACGACTTCTAATTTCCCTAGTGCTTGTGACCTGAAGGTTTCCATTGTCTATTTGTGATTACTTTGCAATATTGTTCTATTATTATTAATTCCCCATATATCAATCCTTAACCTATATATGTCAATCTGCATCCTAGGATGTGTTTGTAGCGGGTACCGATACAAACTCCAACACAGTCGAATGGGCGATGGCGGAGCTCCTCCGCAGCCCCGACATAATGGCAAAGGCACGAGCAGAGCTTCTCGAATCCTTTGACAAAGAGTCAGAACTCGATGAATTAGACATCTTGAGTCTTCCCTATCTTCAAGCAATCGTAAAAGAGACACTCCGCCTACATCCTCCGGCCCCTTTCCTACTCCCACGGCAAAACGAAACCAACACTGAATTGTTCGGATACAGCATACCTAAGCACAGTCGAATACTAGTAAACGCCTGGGCTATCGGGAGACACGAGAGCGTGTGGAAAGATCCGGATATATTTATGCCGGAGAGATTCTTGGAGAGCGATGTGGATTATAAAGGGCGAGATTTCGAGTTGATACCGTTCGGAGCAGGGCGGAGGATTTGCCCGGGGTTGCCGTTGGCGCTTAGGATTGTTCATCTGATGCTGGCTTCTTTGTTGTTCTATTTCAAGTGGGAGTTGGTTGATGGGATGAGAGCTGAGGATGTGGATTTGAGAGAAAAATTTGGGGTTACTCTCGCTTTGGCAAATCCTGTCCGGGCTATACCCGTTCCTGATAAGTGATATATGAGAAGTTTTAACTCTTGTGTGTTTCCAATAATGTTGTTTCAGAGATTGAATTATGCAAGTTCTTGCATTAAAGTTTCCAATTTCATGTGTATCCTTAAAAAAATTGTTAAAATTAAATGTATGCAGAAATTAATGATGTAAGTTTGATCTATAGTACCAAATTCACCTGGCATATCAACACTAGAAAGCTTCCCAGCGTAAGATCAAACTTTTATGGTCGACTATATATTAAAGAGTGCTACTAGAAGGACCCAAAAACGGGGCAGATCCACGAGACAGATGGCATGTCAGATAAAGCTGGAAAATATTAATTAGTTGCAAAATTGTGAATTGGAAATAGGAAAGGGTACTTTGGTAATTCTGCGAGTCATCTCTCTTATCAAACAAACCCAGCAAATTAGATTCCCCCCCAAATCCAAAGCTCCTCTTGCAAACCAACGTTCCCAATGTTAGATCTAAAAAAAAAACTTGAGATCTAAACCTTAAAGCCATGATTAATTCATAGAGATTAACAAGAATCATAAGGTGCAGAAGCATATACCTGAATCTATTAAGAAAAACTTGATTAGGGTTTTGATGATCTTCTAATCTTAGGGTTTCTCCCTTTTGGATCTCTTTAGATAGGGATTAGAGAATGAGAGTGGCTAACCCTAGATTAGGAACCATAACCCCATATATATAGGTGTTGTACATTTGTAATTTGACCCCTCATTAAATTACAATTACAACCTAGTATCTGCACATATAACCTCATGATTTATTTAAATACGTATTAACCCAAATTAATTGATCACTTTAGTGGGTTATCCTGAAGGATAGCAATACACACAGATTAATCATATGTGCCCACAAATAGATTTAATTAGATTTAAATCCAACAATCTCTCATTTGGGCACCATATGACTCCTTAATGTGTATAACCTTATGATCTTAAAATTGCTATCGCTAAAAATGTATTTCCGAACAATCTCGTCCATTGACTATATCAATATAGGATCAAAGCGGCCTTCGTCACATTTATCGTGACTCGACCCATCAATGGTCACATATACCAATACAATCAAACGACATAGATCAATCATGGATGTGCAGCATGAAAATTACATGCAATGTGATCAGTACATGTCTATTTTCAACTGGTCCTAGTTTAGTGAGGTCAAAACCAAACATAATGTAACAGAGTGTATGAACTAAAAAACTTTATTCTGGTCAGACAATACAACCTAACATAAAACACCATAATTATAAACTCTCACTAAATCATGATATCCTCAAATAATACCACACCCATATGAGCAGTATGCTCATGAAAGACCTTAGGTGACCCATATGAGCAGTATGCTCATGAAAGACCTTAGGTGGTAATCCTTTAGTAAGAGGATCAGCTATCATGGAGTTTGTCCGAAAGACCTTAGGTGGTAATCCTTTAGTAAGAGGATCAGCTATCATGGAGTTTGTCCTAATGTGCTCTATATATATATCTGTCCATTCTGTACCCTTTCTTTCATAACTAGGAACTTAATGTTAATATGTTTTGACTTAATTGAGCTCCTGTTGTTATTGGAATACATTACTGCAGATTTATTATCACAATATAACATTAGTGGTCTTTCCATATTTTCCAGAATGCGCAGTGCAGTGATAAAATTTCACAACCATATTCCATGATTTGATGCCTCATAGCAAGCTACAAACTCTGCTGCCATAGTGGAGGAAGCTACAAGTGTTTGTTTGACACTTTTCCATGATATAGCTCCTCCTGCTAACATATAAATATAGCCTGATGTAGATTTTCTGCTATCTTGGCATCCAACAAAATCAGAATCTGAGTACTCAATGACCTCCAGCTATTCTGATTTTCTGTATGTGAGCATATAATCTTTTGTTTTCTGAAGATACCTCATAACCCTTTTGACTGCTATCCAATGTTCCATACCAGGGTTGCTTAAGTATCTGTCTAACATCCCAACAATGTACGCAATATCCAGACGCGTACATACCTGAGCATACATTAGACTTCCTACAGCCGAAGCATAAGGAATCTTCTGTATTTCCTGAATTTTAAGGTTGCCTTTAGGGCGCTGATTGAGACTGAACTTGTCTCCTTTAGCCACAGGGATGTCTCCTGGTCTGCAGTCTTGCATGCCAAATATTTTAAGTACCTTATCGATATAGCTCTTTTGTGATAATCCAAGAATACCCCGAGAGCGATCTCGATGTATTTGGATTCCTAATATAAAAGAGGCGTCCCCAAGATCTTTCATCTCAAAATTCTTTGATAGAAATCTCTTGGTTTCGTGTAACATGCCTATATCATTAGTGACAAGCAATATGTCATCGACATACAGAACCAGAAAAATATACTTACTCCCACTGAACTTGTGATATACACAGTCATCAAAAATGTTCATCTCAAAACCGAACGAGATAATTTTTTTGAAACTTGTAATACCATTGACGAGGAGCTTGTTTGAGTCCATAGATGGATTTCCTTAATTTGCAAACCATATTCTTTGGGTCTCCTGACACAAAGTTTTATGGTTGCACCATATAAATCGTCTCATCAATGTCGCCATTGAGAAATGAAGTCTTAACATCCATCTGATGTAACTCAAGATCATAATGAGCAACAAGTGCCATGATTGTTCTGAAAGAGTCTTTCGATGAAACCGGAGAGAAAGTCTCTGTATAATCAATGCCTTTCTTTTGAGTGAAGCCTTTAGCTACAAGACGTGCCTTATACCTCTCCACATTACCATTTACATCCTACTTGATTTTAAAAATCCATTTACAACCAATTAGTTTTGCACCTTCTGGCAATGGGACAAGTTTCCAAACCTTATTGTCTTGCATAGACTTGTACTCTTCATTCATGGCATCAATCCACTGTTGAGAGTTAGAACTTTTCATGGCCTGAAGGAAGTTGATTGGATCATCTTCCAACATTTCATTACTTTCCTCATGTTCTTAGAGAAATACAATATAATCATCTGAAATAGCATTTCTCCTTTCTATCGTGGATCTCCTTAATGGCACTGGTTCTTGAGGTTGTTGAGTTTGTTCTTCTGGAACAGAAGTTGATCAACATTGTTATCTTACGGTTCCGGATTTACTTCTTGAGCAACAACAGGTATAGTAACCTGAATATTGTCAAAAAAAACTGTATGGATTGGATCTGAAGCCAATTCCTCCTCAAAAGCAATGTCTCTGACCTTATTTCTCCCCCCAAACTCAACATCCTCAAAGAATGTTGCTGTTTCCATCTCAAAAATATTCCTGAGTGTGGGATCATAAAACTTATAACCCCTAAAGCGTTTAGAGTACCCAATAAAGTAGCTGCTAACTTTTTTGGAGTCCAATTTCTTTTTATTTGGCCTATAAGGCCTTGCCTCAGCTGGACATCCCCAAATATGTAAGTGTTTTAAATTGGGCTTTCGACCAGTCCAAAGCTCATAAGGTGTTTTAGTAACTTCTTTACTTGGTACTCTATTAAGAATGTAAGCTGCTGTCTTTAGTGCTTCTCCCAAGAGTGACTCTGGTAAAGAAGAATGAGTAATCATACTTCTTACCATATCCTTAAGAGTATTGTTTCGTCTTTCAGCTACACCATTCATGCTAGGTGAACACGGCATTGTGTACTGTAGGATGATACCGTATTCCTCTAGGTATCTAGCAAATGATCTTGGACGTTGTTCACCTGAACCATCATATCTGCTGTAGTACTCACCACCATGATCAGATCTAACGGTTTTATGGACGTTGTTCACCTGAACCATCATATCTGCTGTAGTACTCACCACCATGATCAGATCTAACGGTTTTAATTCTTCTGTTGAGTTGATTCTCAACTTCAGATCTAACGGTTTTAATTCTTCTGTTGAGTTGATTCTCAACTTTAGCTTTATAGGCTTTGAACATGTCTAGAGACTCAGATTTTTCATGAATGAGATATAAGTACCCATAGCGTGAGTAATCGTCTATGAACGATATAAAATATTATTGACCATTCCAAGATGCCGTAGGGAATGGTCCATAAATATCTGTATGTATCAATTCTAAGACTTCTGAAGATCTATTGGCACCTAATCTCTTAACCTTGGTCTGTTTTCTCTTGATACATTCAACACATATGTCGAAGTCCGAAAAATTAAGGGAATCCAAAATGCCATCAGACACAAGATGCTCAACTCTACCTTTTGAGATATGACCCAAGCGCTTATACCATAATGTCGTCGAATTTTCCTTATTTAATTTACGCTTAGTACCACGTGATTCCACATGCAAGGATTCATTATAAGAAGCAATTGTATCGAGCAAATATAGGTTGTCATAAGTACTCAAGTAACCAGTTCCCACAATATTTGAATTAAAAGATAAACTGAATTAATTATTTCCAAATGAACAAGAATAACCTGATTTGTCCAATATAGAAACTGAAATCAAATTCCGTCTAAAAGACGGTACTACAAAAGTATCTTTTAAGTCCAAATAAGAACCAGTTCCTAATAGCAACCTAAAATGCCCAATTGCTTCCACATCTACCGATTGACCGTCGCCCACAAAGATGTGTCTTTCAACATCACTTGGCTTTCGGTAGTTCAGGCAACCCTACATAGAAACACTTATGTGAGTAGTAGCACCAGAGTCTAACCACCAAGTGTTTCTAGGTACTGAAGCTAAATTAATCTCAGAACAGACGAAAGTAAGGAATGTACCCTTATTAGCACGCCAGGCGTGATATTTAGTACAATCGTTCTTTACGTGTCCAGGCTTGTTACAGAAGAAACAATCTTGATTATCCTTATGTTGTTTCTTCTGAACTGGACCCTTAGCAGCTTCATTATCATTCTTTCTTTTCTTACCCTTATCCTTAGAGGCATAGGCCAAATGAGTACTTTCTGTCTTATCTTGCTTCAACCTGTCTTCTTCTTGCACACAGTATGAAATGAGCTCATTTAGAGTCCATTTCTCCTTTTGGCGGTTATAACTGACCTTAAACTGATTGAATTGTGCAGGAAGAGAGAACAAAACCAGATGCACTAATAACTCATCACAAAGATCGAGTTTAAGTGCCTTAAGCTTTGAAGCAATATGAGACATTTCCATAATATACTCCCTGATATTTCCTTTGCCCTTATACTTCATTGAAATCAAGTGAGCTAAAAACGTGCTTGTTTCT